GCTGCGTTGGAAGGAGTTTCCTGGCTGGAGATGGGTTTTAACTTGGCTCCTCCCTGCCCCTTTGGGGTGGGGTCAGGCTGGGCACACAATTCGGGTGCAGGCAGGTGACACGACCAGCTTCAGTACTGCCCTCTGGCTCCTCTCCCCAGCAAAGAGAGCCCTTCAGCTGTTTGCATGGTGGTCCTGTGCAAGACCTGCATAAAATCTGAGCCCCTTTTTGCCAGTTGTGCGTAGAAACGCAAAAGAAAAATGTTTGCTGCACCAAAGATCTTATTAATGGATGGCAGAAAGCAGAAGAGCGACACACAAAGCACCCCATCTGTCTGGCCACTGCTGAATCTCTGTAGGGTGCCAAAATATGAGACTTGGATTGTTTGCAGCCTGTTCTGCCAAGGTCTGTGGCAAAACCAGGATGAAAATCACTGCAAATGCCCAGTGTACTCAAGTCTGCATTCGTGTTCTCTAATGCTTTGTTTCTCTCCCATTTGGCATTATTTCAGATTTAAAGCAAATCTGAGCAGGATTTGGATTCTGCTAAAGATAATTAGGTGCTTGCTTCTTAATAGCTTTTTCTATTAAGCAACATTAATGCCCTGGACTCCATAGATTCAAAACACTTCTCTTGTAGCAGACATTTGTTGTTATGCCCTAAGTTGTGCAGTCCAAGATGAAGCATCCTGCTTTGCTTTCTAGTTACTTCAGCCTTGATTTGCAGTAGGCTGCTCATCTCAAGCAAGTACCCCTCCTTCTGAACCATCATGCCTCCTGTTCATACCACAATCAATAATTCACATCTTGATAACAGCCCCATTAGCTGAGATGAAGCCAGTGTCCTCATTTATACTACGAATATTCCATTCTCCTAATGGCTTTTCTCTTTTCCAGCGAGTTGTGGTTGTGGAAGACATAAAACGATGGAAGTCTATGCTTGAGCTTCCAGGTCAACCCAAAGAGAATCTGATCGAAGCTTTGGAGGAGCTGAAGAAGAAAATACCTTCCAAGGAAGTGTTACTTTCAACAAAAATAGGTACATCTTGTCTGATGCAGACTGTGAATATTAGGCTATTTTGTGTCTGCTTGGCTTGTCAATACATGAGATTAGCTTGCAACCTTTTTAAGAAATGGGTTTAGCTGCCAGTAAAATATTGTTGATATGGAGCCTGCAGTTTTCAGAGCTTGGACTGAAAAAGGCAGTGACCCTCTAATTCCAGCCAGGTTGCTGCTTATTACCAGACACTGCATCACCCCTTCTGCAGGCAGGGCACCTGTGTGTCTTACTCCTCCTGCTGTCTGTCAGGGGCAAGGCAGAGTGCTCTCTTGCCATCTGAGACATGCCGCGTTATTTGACCTTGCTGAGTCCTCTGAACACATGACAAATTCTCCTTGATCTGCCCAGCATTTCTTAGCACATCCTCACACCAAGGAATCCCCAGCAGCTGGGCATCTCCAGGCAGGTGTCACAGCCTGATGCCTGGTTCTTTTCTGCAGGACTTGGGGGAGGGATGATGTGAGACCACAGGGTCCCTGCCTCTCCTGCCTGTGGGAAGCATCCTGGCGTGAGGGACAGTCCTGCTGGCCTTTGTGCTGGATCTCTGTTCAAAGAGCCGCCCTTGCCTTAGAAAAGGAGTTATGACCTGCCCCTTTCCCCTCACTTTTGAACTGCCATTCCATTTGCCCTGTTCAGCTTATTCAGGCTTTTCCAGTGTCTGGGCTGGGAGAGCCACTGAAGCCTAACAGTGACATCTCCTGGCCAACAGCGCTAGTGGCCAGAGAGAAATCTGCTGGAAGAAGGTCCCTTTTGTCTCCCTTAGGGCAAAGCCCTGTCACTGTCCACTGGAGAGATGCTGCTTGGAGTGACCGTGATGCTTGTGTGTTAAAATGCTGTAGCCATCACCAGCAACATCTATGTCCTTCAAGGGGTTTTCAGTTTAAACCCAGCATTCTTTGTAGGCCAGGCCTAGAAGCTTTCACCACATGTAGTATCTGTGTAGAAAATCAGCGTAGCCCTGTGTTACTTAAGTGTTGCTCCACACCTCAGTGACGTGGGAGGGTGATTTTCACAAGTAGGGGTCGATTCCTTGCTAATTGCTCGGGCAAAAATCACTGCAGGTGTCAAGGAGTTAGAATTCCAGCCTTCGTTCCTAGTAACGCTACATTTGTGTGGACGCTTTGGTTGTGCTGCTGCCCCTGCCTGAGCTGGGGTGTCCCTTTGGCCCGAGCTCCCGGAGCTGAAGGGGCTGTTGGTGTCCCCAGGGCAGGCGGTGAAGAAGGCGCGCAGGCACTCGGACGGCGACGTGGCCGCCCTCGCCACGGAGGTGTACGGCCAGTGGCGGGACTTCCTCAGAGCCCACCCCAGCAGGCCCTCCCTGGAGGTCAGGAGCGACCCCCGGAGCGAGGCCTTCCGGAGCAACGCGCGCAGGCTGCTGGGGGAGGCCCTGGATCTAGAGGTACCGGTCTCATCCCTTTCTCTGTAGCTCAAAGACATCTGGTAGCAACAAGTTGAACCAGCCTTGCTCGGGCTTCTGTCAAGCTCATCCTGCCTGCACAGTGGGTCAAGACCAGATGATCTGTTCCTATTTTCAGTGGTTTGCTGTGTTTCCCTATTTATCAATAGCTTTGTTTTCAAGCTAGATACTTTTTGGTTGTTAACCAAGTAAACAAGCTGAAAGTGAGGTGTATTTGCCTTCATTTCCATAACCAGTGAACAGAACAGCTGTGTGTCTACTACACAGGAGGAAGTTGATAGAACAAAGTTTTTCCTACTATTTAAGAGCTGTGAAAGCAACGCTGGGACTTTTTGGGTGTTTTGTATTTAAGTTATTAACCATTTGTAAATTTAAAGCTATTGCAAAAACAGAGAGGTGAGGTTGACAGTATATAAAGTGGTGATAAATACCAGATCCCTCAGGTATCTTTAAGTAAATGAACAGGGCTTTGCTGTAAGGCTTAATGACTAGTCTGGTCTAGGAAATGCTGTAATAATTATCCTTTTTAATTTATTCATTAATTATCCTTTAAATGGCAAGTCAAGTGATAAGCACTCAAGAGTTTCAAAGCTGTGTATTTGCTAGCTATGAGAACAACCTCTACAAGTTCCAGTCTATCTGGACTTGGGCAGCACAAAAGGATGAGTTTGCTGTGGGAATGCCTCTGAAAAGTGGGAGCTCACCTTTGCTGGGACAAGCTTAGTTCTTGCAACACAAGTCTTTGGTAGTAAAGCCTGAGCCTGTGGGACATGAAGGCTACAATGCCACCCTAAAACAAGTACTGGGCAAAGCAGAATTGCCTCTGGACAGTGCTCACCTGAAAGCACGGCAAGGAAAAACATCCTTCTAGTTTGTAGCTGCCACCATATGTGCAGGTAGAGCTTACAGCAGCAGGTGACCACCACATAGAGGCTGGGGAGCCACAGAGCTCCAGCAGATGGGCAGCAGGGCCACCTGACAAAAAGGAGAAGGGAAGGTGGGGCTGAGTGGATCCAAGGGACTTCTAGTGCTGCCCAGCAGAGGGGCAGTTTTGTGATGGGTGGCAAAGCCAGAGCGGGCAGAGGACTTGGAGGAGCACTGCTTGGCACGCTGCAATCTCCAGCATGCAGAGCATGGGAGATTCCCTATCACAAAAGGCAGAAGTGAAATTAAAACCCTTTCTTGATAGTTGGGGGATTTTTTTCTAAGCTGTGCTAAATTACAGGTTTTGGCACACGTTGAAGCAGTAACTACATAATTAACATTTAGCAAATCCCTTTCTGCATTCTTAATTATACCTCTTTCTACACACAGAGAGCCCACATTTCCCTTTACAGCACCAGGAAGAGTTGCCAAGTGTTTGGCAGGTCTTTGAGTTGCTGTTGGAATCGAGTTTAAAAGAGTATCCAAGGTACCTTGTATCAGGGAGATCAAAAGTGAGCTTTGTGGAGACAGTACAGCGGAGCTTATAATTGCAGTTGAGCTTGATACCCAAAGCTAGCTGCAGATTA